GTTTATAGACTCCTTAAAAGTGAAAAACAAAACAATTTTGTTATATTTAAGGAAATCTTAATTATATGATAACTTATTTATTTGATCTTAACAACTGAAAAAACATCCTGTTTTGTTTTTAAAAACTGACTATGTGTAATATTGAAGTGCATTTGTTTTTAAAATTTTGACAACTATTGTTTGTAAAAGTTTATAAAAACTAGTTTATCAGTTATAGGTAAAAATTTATTGGTAAAAATTTATTTAAATTTAAAAAATTTATCATTGCAAAAAATTCTATCAGTGTAAAAAATTATACAACAGAATGATTCTGATTTGAATCAAAATTATGTAGAAAAGAAGAATTCTCTGTTTTTTTTAGGAATTACATTCATACTAACTAATTTATTATAAGATGTGTTCAATTGGCTTAATGACATCAGATGAATGCAAAGGCCAACAAGATGTTATTGAAACTTTAAGCAATGAACAAAAAATAACTATATCATTACGCTGTAACATTAAGCTATCAAACTTAACGATATTATGTGCAAGACATACTACAAATTATTTGAAAATGTATCCTATACGGCAGAAAGCAAGTTGTGATCCATTTAATAAACATACAAAAATAATCACAAGTAAGTAGATGTAGAATTTAAATATTTTATATATACACTTTTTTAATTTGTATTTTCAAAAACATTAAAAATGTTTTAAACAATTGTGCAGATAAGCTTTATACAATTCAATTACTTTTAAAAAATCTCAGAGCAGTTACGATAAATGAGTCACAAGTCATGATGAGAAGTAGTAGGTGATCTTCTTCATTCAGAGGTATGTTGACAAAAAAAAATTTACCATTACAAGCATAAATAAATGTTTGTCTATTTTTTGCAGGTCAGGTGGCTATCAAGAGGAAAGATTCTTGACAGATTTTGGGAGTGTTTGCCAAGTGTACTGCAGTTCATGGTAACTCAAAAATTTTCATTCATTACAATATCTATTGAAGAATTTAAGTGTAAACTGGCTTTCCTTTGCGATATCACAGCACAATTCAATTTTCTTAATAAGAGATTACAAGGCCGCCGTGTGCTGGTTTGTGATTTGATCAACCACATCAATGTGATGAAGACAAAACTTAATTTGTACAAAACTCATTTTGCATATGGTAATTGTACTCATTTTCTTACTTTAACTGAATGTCAACCATCAAGGGAAATGTTATCGTCATTCTCATTAATAGTGACTGCTCTGTATGATCAATTTGATAACAGATTTAATGAATTTGAAGACTTAAAAAAGCAAATGGTATTTTTGTGTTATCCATTTGACTTTGATATGAATGATATTAGTATTCTAAAAGACTTTGAAGAAGTTTATATTTTAAAAGCAGAAAATGAACTAATTAATTTTCAATGTGACAACGAGTTAAGAAGAAAGGCACCAAAAAGATGAAGATGGCACTTTTGGTAAAAATTTAATTCTTTTCTGGCATGATGTCATGAAGGAACTTTTTCCAGTTCTTAAAAAACATGCAAATAGACTTATCTGTATGTATGGCACTAGTTACCAATGTGAATAAACATTCTCAGCCATGAAAATTATAAAAAATGTTTACAGAACAAGACTGACTGACACTCATTTGAATGACCTTGTGCTAGCAGCAACAACAAAATACCAAACTTTTAATTGTGTTTTATGTGTTTTTTTTTCTTAAGTATGTATTTTGTAACAATACAATTATCATAGTAATAATACAATTATTAGTTCTTTAATCTAATTTTACAATATATTATATTATATAGTTAACATAGTATATTTGAATATAATTTATTTATTGCTGTGGGCCGCAACTAAAACAAGAATTTTGCAAGTGGGCTCCTTTAAAAATATGGTGCTGACCACTGATTTAATAGTACCAATTACCATATTAAATTTTCTTGTTCTTTTTGATATACAGTTGATATAAAATAATTAAGTCATTTAAAAAATACTACTTTTTAAATGATTTATATATTTTATGTCCAACATTGATGATCACACTTAATGCTAACATTTTCAAAGGGCACACAAAAAAGTGTGATCCTATAAAACAATGCTAAAGCTTAAATTTGATTATAAATACAAGACCAAGAAATAAAATGTAAAAAAATATAAAACAGATACAACAGACATTTTTGATAAATTTCTATAGAGGTTTATAATGGAAAAATATGTAAATACTAAACCCATACCATATAGAAGTTTCAAGAGATCAAAAACATGCGCTGTCATTGATTGTAAAAATAACAAGTACAATCTAGGAATGTGAAACTGCTAACTACCATATAAATAAGCATTTGTTATCCATTATCAACACATACACAGATATATAACTATATAAAAACAACCATAGCTCAGAAAAAAATGGAGAAAACTAATTAATCATTCAACTCCTACATTATTGCATCATAGTAAATTAATAACCATAAAATATATAATGAGAGTATGTTCAGACAATTTTCATGACAGAGCATTATCGTTTAAAAATCGATATTCTTTGTTAAACTTGGGCTACAATCCTCAAAGACTTGTATTAATATATGTAAACAATAAAACTTTTTCAAACAATGATCCATCAGATTATGTTAAATTTAATGTTAAGCATTGTTTGATAATAGAGCATCAAGAATTAAAAAAGAAAATTGATAACTTAAAAAAAGAACTTCAGCACGAAATTGAAAAAAATAAAGATTGATTTAAAAAATTATTTTCAACGACATCAGTTATTACTATGAAACCAGACAAATTTGTTTATAAACATAATCCAAACAAATAGTGTTACTGCAATTTACTTGTATACAAACATTTATTTTAAAAATGATAGATCTTGCAACTATTATACTAGCCTTACATCTGTCAGTGTGTTTCATGAGTTGCAGTATTACCATTAATCAAAAGAAGATAAAGTGATGTTAAAAACTGCTGTTTTTTGAAATTTAAAAAAACCTTAAACTATTTGGACCAAAACAAAAGTTATACAGCAAAGATGTATTTTTATTGATGCTAAGACTTGGATTATTGACAACTGATCTTGCTGACAGGTTTAATATATATTTAGGATTAGCCAGTGCAATATTTTCTACATGGGTGAAAGCTTCTAGCTCACTTTTAAAGCACATGGTTTTTGTTCCAAGTAAAGATGTTATAAGAAAGACAGATTTAAGAAATTAAACTATTCAAACTTGCGCTAAATTTTATATATAACAGATTTTTTTATTGAAATACCTAAAAATTTAGACTTACATAAATTAATATTGAGTGTATGCAAACATCACAGCAATATAAAAACATTACTATCTGTAGCTCCAAATTCAGCAATAATTTCTCAGATAAAGAAATTACAGACCACAACAACTATTTAGATTGCATTCCAAAATACTCTTGTATAATGTATGATAAAGGCTTTAATATCAATGCTAAATATTCTGAAGGTTTTATCTACCACACAGTTCCTCCCTGTTAGAGAGGTTAGAAAAATAAAACAAATCACAAATTTTAGGATATTAGTTGAACAAGTTATTAAAAGACCAATGACATTTTGAATTTTGTCAACAGAGTTTCCACTTACAATATTGAAACTATTTGATGATATTATTACTATTTGCTTAGCTTTGAGTAATCTAAGAAAAACAATACGTTTAGACTAACTTTACATCATAAAAAATCTTTTTTTGCAGTGATAGATTTTATATATATATATATATATATACATATATATATATATATATATATATATATATATATATATATATATATATATATATATATATATATATATATATATATATATATATATACATATATATATATATATATATATATATATATATATATATATATATATATATATATATATATATATATATATATATATATATCCTAGCAATGTAAAAACAGATGTATGTATATAAATTTATCTTTAAACTTTACATTAAGGACATATAGAGTAAAAAAAAAGATTTTATTATATATTAAGTAATTATTTTTTACAAATCCAAAAGTTAATTTTGATTTGTAAAAAATAATTACTTAATATTATATTATATATATGATTATAATGGGGGATGACTTTATTTCAAAAATATATAAATCTGGTCAAAGACAGCTTCTTGTAAAATTAATTTGAAGAAATAAATATTACATAAAAACATCATTTTTTCACATATTTTTTAAAAAAATAAAATTCTTTATCTATTCAAAGAAAATCCCTTACAAAAGTGTTTCCCATCAAAAGTAAACTTTCTGAACGATGACCAAAATTAGGCTAACTTACCTTATACAGCTAAATTGTTACTAAGTTTGAAAATTTGTCAATAAAATATTATAAAATTAGTCTTGAGTCCTTAATAAAAGGAGGAGGGGGGATGTTTATTAATTTTTGGAAAATATCCCACCCACCCAAAGCCTATTAATATTGTCCATTTATTAATTTTTACTTGTTGTTAGCAAAAACTTTATATCTCAAAACTAAAAAAATAAAAAATCAGTTAAAACCAACACTAAAAATTAGAAAATAACAAAAACTTTCAGTGTAAACAGGCTTTAAAAATCGTTGACCTAGTAAATCTCAATTTGTTGAAAATAAGCTATAAGTTTATTTCTCACTAAAGTATAAAATTTATATCAGCATATTAAATCCTATTAAAATTACGCTAAAACAGCTGTTTGAAAATGTTCATTTGACTGCAAGCCACGCTATTAAATAGTTTTAAGCGTGTTTTGTTAAAAATATTAGTTGGAATTTATAAACTGAACTTTTTATAAAAGATTCTTTAATTGTAACATAAAACCCCATCCCTGTTTATTAGATTTTGTTTATTAGAAAATACAAGATACACAAAAGATTTGTTTGATATCAATTAGTTTTTATCATTATTTATACTAATCAACTTGTGCAGAGGTTTATATAACAAAGATTAAGTGTCAATTAATTTCAACTCAAATGCTTTTCTTAGGTTAAATATTTGTAAAAATACCTCAATGAAAATGTGCAGATTAAGGGCAGTCAAAATAGCATTGTAAATTACTAAAGTCCATTTTAGTTGAAAAGCGTCACAATTTTTCATAAACATCGGTCCAAGCTTGCATGCAAACAATAAATAAAGTACACATAGTGAGTATGTAGGAATTGGGCTTGAAATAAAAATCCAATCATGCACCCGAGGATCTATATACAAAACAGATGAAAATAATTATAACCTTTTAAAAACAAAATTAAGGAACTTTATTCTCTAACTATTATTATCTTATTGTTAGTGTTAATTTTGTTATTACTCTTATTTTGTGTGATAATAATATATTATTATTGTATATAGTTAGGCTCACCATAACTTTGAAGTTGTAAACCAGGACAGGAAAGTGGGTTGGGTGAAAAATAAAAAAAAAGAGCAGAGGAGGAGGGGATGGGGGTGAGAAAAATAGTGTTTTTTTATCCTTCACAAATCATGGGGACCCTGTAACAAAGTTCCAGGAAAGTCTTTTTTAAAAAAAGAGGAGCTTGAAAAAGAACATGTAGCAGCCAAAACTCCAGCTTTGTGTTTGGCACTCTTTAAATGATTTTAATATCTGCTCAACAAGTGCAACAGAAAATTCTGTTAAACTGCTGACATCACTTTGCTGTTGTCACCACTAAGCTTTTTTACAAATAGGGAATCTTTTTATATTTAATTTGTAAATTTGCAACTTCTTTTTGACATTTTAAACAAACAAAACAAAAAAAACATACCTCCTTATAAATATATGAAAACAGGATATAATGAAAAGTGTTAGGACAGTGGGACAAATTGTATAAAACCCAGACAATCCCAGTCAAAATGAGATGGGATTGTCTTGTCTTATGGTAAGCCTATATATAGTGATACAATATATATCACACTCCTAATAGAATAGTTTGGTATATGTACTATAGTAAGTTAAGAAACTATATATATATATATATATATATATATATATATATATATATATATATATATATATATATATATATATATATATATATATATATATATATATATACATATATATATATATATATATATATATATATATATATATATATATATATATACATATATATATATATATATATATATATATATATATATATATATATATATATATATATATACATATATATATATATATATATATATATATATATATATATATATATATATATATATATATATATATATATATATATATATATATATATTGAAAAAAAAAAGTTTTTTCAATATTTTTTTATATGATTATTTTTGAAATTTTTATATAATTTCACTTCTTTTGAGTCCTAACATGTTATACCTTTGAAGAACTTTTAATGTTTAAAGGACTTGAGCTACCCCTTAAAATGTATTTTTAAAAAATTTTCAATTCCAGTATTATTTTATCAAATAGATTTAGAGGATGGGAACAGACATTTTTTTTAAAGTTGCTTTTTGGAACACCCTAATGTACAGTATAGTTAAAGAATAAAGTATTCTATTTAAAAATAACCACAAAAGTGAAGCCATTCAGAAGCACTGAAACAGTTATCATTCAGTTATTATTCAGCTTCTATAAAATTTTAATAAAAAAGTAGTAAGTAAATATTATTCATAAACATTATTTAGAGTGGATCTTAGCTATGAAAAAACTGACATAAATAAAAGCTACATCTATACTATTCTAAATAATAGTATAAGATCTAAATAGTGAAATTGTAGTTGTCAACAAACAAACAAACAAAAAAAAAACATTTACAAATCGACTTAAGTGTGAGAGATCTCATGATCAAAAAACATTCAAAAACTTGTTTTTTGTGTGAGAGATCGCATGATCAAATCCTTTGTCCCTTGTAACTATGAACTCAACTTCTTTAAAAAATAATAAAAAAGGTAAAAAAAAGTTGAAAAAAGCAATAAAACAAAAAGACCTGATTTTAAATATTAGCTTCCGTCCAGTGGGGTTACTTATATATTTCGTTTATTTCGTTTTTAGTTTGAATATACAAATGACCTCTCCTTAACTGAAAAAAACGCTTTTCAGAAATATAAAAACTTGTATTGTATTTTTTTAAAAGCACCAATAGTTACCAATGTAACCTTGCATGTTGAGGTTACTCTCATAGTCAATTTTATTTACATCAAATATTAAATTAACCCCAACACGGGGGTGGATTGATAGTTTTTGAGGCACTTAAAAAAGATTTATAGACCTAATAAACCTGTTACTATCTAAAAACAAATTGGAAGTTTGTTGAAAAATAAACTTCTAATTTGTTTTATGAGAAACAATATTGATCCCTTGTTTTTCTCAGTTCATCTAAAATTCTCTTCACCGCATCAGAAAATGGAACAGCTTCATCCATATCATCTTTGCTTTCTGTAAATTTGAAAAATTTACTTGCCAGTTGCTTTTTTCAAAAATTTTATATAAAGCAGTTTTACTCTCGAGCACTTCAATGACTTGACCAACGTAATAGACAACAAATTTCTCCCCAGTGTAGGCTACAGCAGTCCATTGCTTTGGCTCAAATAAAATGTCAGTTGTCCTATCAGCTGATTTTATAGAGTCATTAGTATCATTATGAAATTCCATTTTAATTTCAGAATCACTATCTGATGATGTTGAAGACTTGATTTCTTTATTTAATCATTTTTTTAGCAACAACTGATTTTACACCAGTACCACTAAATTGTGTTTGTTTTCCTTTTGTTTCTGAAATTTTTGTTTTTTTCTCACATTGAGATGTCATATCATCACCATGAATCAACTTTTTCCCTCTCTTTTGTGTTTGTTTGTCAGGTTTATTGAATCCATGTGAAAATACAGAAGATAATAAAATAGTACTATAAAAATAATACTGATTGTTAATGTTGCCCCGGGTATCAACGTAACCCCACTCAATGTATGTAAAGAAAAAAAATACATTTAGTAAAAGATATCAAAACTATAATGTTAAAACTATCTTTAATTGGCTTACCACTAACACTTTCTGCCCATTCATAAAAATTATTGTATTTTTCTATTAACAATGCCATTCTGTAAAATATTCAAACACAATTTTTTAAACACTGTATTAACTACATTCAAATCAAATAAAATTTATATAAGAAAAATTATTTTTTAGCTATTTTTATTAATAATACCAAAAAATTACAACTTTTTTTAAAAAGCAAACTGCTACTAAATAAAAAATATTTATAGCTCTTATTTTTGAACAGCTATTATACAATATGAAACAACCTAAAATTGAACAATTTTTAAATAACACAAAATGAATTCTATGAATTTTTTAATAGATTTTATGTAATTCATATAAAGAGCATAATTTTAAAATTGTTTGATTATTTGCTCATATCAGATATTTTTTTATTCCAAAAACATACTATTTTTATTTTTTATTTAAAACTAAAATGAAAGCTAAATTAAAGAAAATATATATTTTTTAAAAAGCAAACAAAAAAATAAGACTAGGATAGAAAAGACCTAGCATTGGATAGAAGACTGGATAGAAAAGAACTCCAAAGCTAAACATATCATCATGTTTAGCTTTGTAGCTTTTTCTTTTATTAAAAGCAAATGAAATAAAAAAGCAAAGCCAAATACAAAGAAGGAAAAATAACGAGGCCCAAAAAACAAAAAACACATGTCTTATAATTTAAAGTGGAAGTATGGAAAGTTGCTTAAAAACTACATTTTTTATTTCTAAAACGTTTTATAAAACAACTGAGTTGATATTATTATATTATCTGCTATTATTTTGACATCATTATAATATATCATCATAATCATTTTAAAAAAGCATACAACGACTAGACCTAATTTCTTGTCCTTTAAGCACTCCCTAACAACCAAGCGTTTGTTTATAGGCTAATGTCATGCTTTTTGATCCGTAATTTTCCACATATTTTAGGTCATGCGTACGCTCATAGGAGTTGGGGTCTGCAAAAAACGTGTGGGGGAGGGGGCGGAGAGGGCCATAAGTACGTACGCACTAGCCTAAAAAAAGACTTTTAGTTTACATTTGTTTTTTTAATTTATCATTATTAATAAATCATTATTAATAATAAAATTATTATTATTATTAATAAGTATTTAATAATAACAATAATGAAATTATTATTATTATTAAATACTTCTTAATAAAATTTATGTTGTGTTCGACTTGTTTTGATTATCCTCCTTAATTTTTTTGAAAAGTTGCAAAAAATTACCATCTTTATTATTGAATTAGAGCCAGTGGCGGATTTAGTATAGAGCGTGGGAGGGGGCGAGCTGCCCCCCCTCCCCCCCTACGATCAAACGGTGATCCCTAAACTAGAACGATCAAACGGTGCCCCCTAGAACATTCAAAAAAAAAAAAATTATAAATTCAAATTACCAATAAAAAACAAAATGAAATGAATAAAAATAAGTACAAATGGAAAGAGAGAGGAATTATTTCAAAACAGAGGTTTTAAAATATTTCCCTTCGAAACATTGATATTAAACTTTAAAAAGAGAAACATTGATATTGAACTCTGCAGAGGACAAGCATATGGTGGTGCTTATGTAATTTTCGGAATTAAAAGTGGTCTTCAAACTCGAATAAAAGGGCTTTCACCAAATGTCATCTATAATCACTGTTGTGCTCCTGTTTTTAATTTGGTGACCATCAAAGCAATGTCTGTAAACAGCGATGTCCAGATGTTTTTAAGCACAGCTGAAAAATTGTATAAGTACCTTACATTTAATTTACCACAAATTCATATTCTCCAAGAGCAGCAGACACGTCTATATGAATCAACAGAAGACACTCTGAAACGACTTTCTGATACAAGATTAGCAAGTACGAAGCATGCAGTTGATGCTGTTGGTGAATCTTTTTCAGCTATTCTAGCCACTCTAGAAGATATAAATCTAGAAGAATCTAAAGAACATACAGGAAATGTTAGAGCAGAAGCTATTGGACTATCAGTTTTAATAAAAAAACATTCATTTGTTTTTCTAACATATTTTTGCCAAAGTTGTTAATTAATCTTTTTGTGTAATCTAACTATCTGCAACGAGAAGATATAGATGTTTTATTTTCAAAACAGTTGATTGATGTTAAAAAAAAAAGGTTTGTAGATATAAGAAACGATGAAGCTTTTAAAGTTCTACATTTAGCAGTCAAATCATTTATTAGTGAAAAATGTGCCAAACTAGATTTAGAAACTGAATTTAAAGAAAACTCGTCTTTCTTTTAATTCAGTTAGCCTAACATCCACCCAAAAAGAAATGCATGACAGAAGAGATGTACATTAGAGTACATTAGAGTACAAAACAAGATAGTTGAATTATTTTTTTACAAATCTTAGAGTCAATGTTTTGAGGTACTTTTTTCCACTTGTTTCTTAATATGTTATTTAAAATGGATTAAACAGGCTCTTTTTTTATTAATAATATAAGACTAATGGCACTGGTTTAATAATATTGTTTGATAAACCTTACTTTTGCTTTGTAAATCTCAAATAAATTACTGTTAAAATAACGTTTGTTTACGTTTTTACTTCCATTTTTGCGCGCGCATAAATTTTATATCGAAACTGTGAAAAGGTGTATTGTTTGAGAATGGAGCGCTATAAGAAAGTTGCGTATATTTTGAAGTCAATTTATGCAAGCGCTATACAAGGCCGTAGAGAGCCAAGCCGGGCCCCGGGATAAATTTTTTGGCGGGCCCCCTTTATTTTACATTAATATTCATATCCATATTGAAAACATCAAACTTAAAGTCTATGACGTGTCTTTAGTCTAACTTAAATCAAAATCAATCTTTAATTAGATGTGTCTTTAATTAGTTAGGTTGGCCAACGAATCCTTTCATTTTTTTAACAAGTTGCATTTGTTAGAATTTTTTTTTTTCAAATTATTCACCTTTCCAAGGCCGAGGGGTCATTATAATCAAGGAGGCTATTCATTTTTTTGTGTTTTCATTTTTTATTTTTTGTTGTTAATTGTGGTACAACCCTCTCTCAACTCTTTTACTCAGAAACACGAACTTTGGCAAGCAAGGCTGCTGCGTGGAGTAACTAAGTCTATTTAGCAAAAAATTGTGTAATAAAAAGCTTTTTAATTAAGTAGCCTTTTCTTTAATATTTTTACTATAAGTAATTAACTTGATATAATATAAAAAAGAAGAGAATGTAAATTAAATAAAAAGTATTAATAAAGACTCTAATTTCTCCAAGAGAGTTTTACAGACAAACAAGTATATTCTTTGGTTTTCTTTTAAAAAAAAGAATATTTTGAATTCTAAGTGTTCAAAATAAATAATTGTATTTAATTGTACTGCAACTAACCAAAATAAGCTTTGCGAGATTTTTTGCTTGAAAAAAGTTCGATAACTGCATCAAAGTCTAGTTTCCTTGCAAGTGGCGCCTCAATCGCTAGTCTTCCCAAATTAGAAAGTCGATCTTGACACATCGTAGAACGTAAAACATTTTTAACTCTTGCAAGCGTGCTGAAAGAGCGTTCTGCTTGTGCAACGGTAACTGGAAGTGTACAAAAAAATTCTAAGAACAACTAAAATGTTTGGGAAAAGAGAATTAAGCTTCAACTCATGGAGTTCGTTTAATAATTGAAACGGCGATAATTGTATTATGCCAAGATTTGATGCGTGAATTGCCTTTAAATGTTCTAACTCGTCTATTAAATCGAGAGAAACATCAATGCTGTATTTAGCGCAAATAGATGAAGCTTTTTCACGCAGCAGACCTTTATATAATGTCATGTATTTCCATACAACACCAAATGTTTCCTCAAGATCTTTGGCTACCTCAAAAACGCCGATTCATATTACCAATGACACAGTCTAAAAGAACATAAAAAACATCGCGCTTGAAAAAAAATTCTGCACTGGTGTTGCATAATTTATTATTCTGTTCCTCATCTGAAAATCTAGCTTTTCGACTGAGTTTTTTCTCCGGGAATATGTCATTGGAAACCATACCCAGATTTTTGGCAACAAGTTTACATTCATTTAAAATTGAATCCCAGTTGTTTCTCAATAATAAGAGGTCATCAATTAAGCTTTTTAAATTTAAAACCTCCGCATCTAAAGTTGCATCTCTGGCTTGCAGAACTGTGTGATTCTGTAATTGATGCTTGTTAGAACTTTAAAACAAGTGATTGCGAGTATAATGCACTCAAATTAACCCAATATTTCTCTCAATTGACTCAAATGAACTCAAATGGACCCAGTATTTCTCAATACGTTTGATATCTGATCGAGTCTCGGCAGTAAGATTTAGCTTCTTTAAGTCTTGGATAGCACTCTTTAAACCAGGAATATGTTCTGCAAAAGGTTTTATACTTTCAATCCTGGCTGACCAACGTGTATCTGACATGCTATGCAAAGAGCATCCAATGTTTTTTTTAAAAAATTGCCATCTTTGCGGGCTAGAGCTGAACAAGTTATAAGTCTTTTGCACGACACCGAAGAAGTTTATAACCTCTGCACAGCACTCAGCGGCATGGACACCTCACAGATTTAAGCTATAACAAGCACATGGTGAATAAATTGCCAATTGGTTCTCTTTAATTATCTCTGTTTGTGCTCCTTTATATTGACCGCTCATGTTGCTACCGTTGTCATAACCTTGACCACGACAGTCTATCATTGGTATATTGTGTTTTTTAATAACACTGCAAATTAATTCAGCAATAGCTTTCCCCGTTTTCTGATTGCAGTCAATAAACTCTTGAACTTCGTAGAGACTATTTTCTTCATTTAAATAAACATAACGCAATATAAATACAGTTTGTTCCATATGTGCTGAATCAAGGGTTGCATCAACAAATATTGAGTAATATTTTGCTGCTTCTCGTTCACTTTGAATAACGTCTAAAACATTTTTTTGGCACAACTAGGGATTGCAATCCCGGGATCCCGGATCCCGAGATCCCGGGATCCCGGACGTTTTTGGGTCCCGAAAATCCCGGGATTCTAAACACAAAATCTCGGGATTTTCGGGATTATAGCAGGATTGAACTAATTAAATTATTTTGTAAAACAAAATGTTCAAAGTTGGTAACTATACTGAATTATAACGAGTTATACAATGCTGCTTTGCAGGTTTATCCTGTTTATGCTTTATCCTTACGATAAATGGAACAAATTTTTGAATAGACCATGGAGTTCGGGATTTTATCATTGAAAAAAGTTTCACAAACACAAATTAAGGCAGGTTTGTTTGACATTGTATAAAAAACAATCGTTAAGTTTGTTGGCAAGACTTCTCGCGTTAAAAAGATAAATTTTAAAATTGTTGAGCGAATTTGTGGTTAAGTGATTGCTTGAGTTTATTAAGTCGTTTTGTTCATTTCAAAAAATATTTTTAGAGAATGAAAAAAATAAAAACTAACAAGTAAAATTATATCTAAAAAAATTTAATGATTACTACATAACTATTCCCTTTGGGATATTTCTAGCGATTTGTATAATTATATTTGTACAATTATTAGTTATTGCAACATTATAATGCCCTTGACAATTAATTTCGCTTGAAGGAATTCTAGTGTGAATACATACAAAATTTGACTTTGGAATAAATCGTTTTGAACGTTTTGAACTGATAACCTTTTTAATGCTTTTGTTGTTTACCGCAATAATATGTTGTTTACTAATGCACCTTAAAAAAATATCCTTCTAAACATGAATGAAAACAGTGAAAAGGGAACATCATTTTTTCTACACAAAAAAGATAAAGACCCAACTTCTGTGTGGTCACATTATTTGAAGTCTGCGGATAATTTGGCAGCAAAATGTAAGAAATGTGGTGTAATTTTGAAAACATTGGGTGGTTCTACAAAAGGCTTTCATACGCACTTATAAACTAAGCATAATTTGAAAGTAACTTCAGCCGACAAAAATTTACCTAGTTCGAGTCAACAGTTGAATGATGCCAGAACCGACGAGAAGCCTCCTACGAAACGAAGAATAACGAGTTACTTTGCATCCGAAAAAAAAAAAACCTTAGACGAAACACTGGCTCGAATGACAGCTTTAGTCTCTCAATATTAACAAACAACTTATTATGTTATTTTTTATAAAGTAGCTTGTTGTTACAGCAGCTACATCGGTACCCAAATTTAAGAAAATTTATGTTTACAAATTTATTTTGAAATTTTGATTGTTTAGTTACTTTAGCCAAATACACTTTAAATGTTCAAATGTTATTTACATATCCAATTATTTGATGAAGGTTATTCTGTAAAGTCTGTAATCTTAAAACATAATATTGATGTTACCGCATATATATTTCCGCATTATTTTAAGATCTTTATATACACCTGCTGCCTGTTACACAATTAAAACAATTTAAGGCGCCGTAGAAAATTAATGTAAGTCATTAAAACATAATGAAATTAAATAAAGAATTGATAACATCAAAAAGTATATTCATATATGCAGTATTAAGTTCTGTTTTTTAGCAAATAACTCACATTATATAAAATACCGGGATACCGAGATCCCAGGATTTTATTTACTTCAATCCCGAAATCCCGGGATCGTAGTTCATGTCCGGGATCGCAATCCCTAGGCACAACACTCTTTAAACTCATTTTGTATTTCCGGTGAAAGGTAATTTGCTTGTTGTCTTCTCTTCAATTTCTGCGACTTCATCACTTTGTTCAGATGGTCTTTCAAGACAGAATCATAATGTCTCAAGAGCTCTAAAATGCCCAAAAAATTGCCATTTGCTGCAACTCCAACTAAATCACTTGTTCCTCTAAATCCCAAACCTCGTTCGGCTAGAAACAATGTGACATCTAAAATTCGGCGAAGAACCTGTTTCCACTGTGATGCTTGATTCTTAATGGTCTGCAGCAGCATAATATCGACAGTGGAATTAGAGTCAATACTTTTTTCCAATATCCGCCATTTAATATAACAATATTTATGGTTGCTGCTGTTTTGATGCTCTGGAATTTTGTCATGTAATTTTTTCCATTTTCTTTGAAAACAATACCCAGATATAGTTGTTAAACGTGAGCGACTTGCTGTTGGTAGTTTGCTAAAAAGGCGACAAGGAAAACAAAATATCGATTGTTTAACTTTGCTCCAAACAAGCCAATCACGGGGAACATATTCTCCATTTTTCATACTTGTATATAGTATACAAACAGGAAATGAATGTCCGTTCACATCTTTTGGAAATTGAGATGGGATCTTTTCTGGACCCCTACGAACTGCTTCCTCAATTTCAGAAGCATTTGGTCTTTTATTTTAGACTACCAACATCAAAGTCAAGCAGTTTTGTTTTAGTAATTTTATTATCAGTTATATTTGATTTATAATTCTCAGAGATATTGTTGATAGGAACTAAAAGATTGCCGGGATCCACGTCATCTTTATTTTCTATGTTATTAGGATCTGGAAAGTCGGCAGTCACATTAATTAAATCTGCAGCTTGTTCAACAACGTTGACTTTATTGTTTAAATTAGCTTCTACGTTATGATATTCATTTTCTAAATCTTTCTCTTTCAAAGACACTGAAAATCCATAACTTTGAAGTAGAGTTTGTTTTTCATTTACATTTTTCAATCTCGACAATTTTTCTTTCCTTTTTTGAGATCCAGATTTGTGATGGTAGTTCATTTTTTATTTGACTACTAAATAAGATTTTATATAAATTGGCATTAATTATCATTCCGGTAAATAAAACATTCTCTATATGATATAATATACCATACTAAAGATATGTCATTGATATATCGATGGTATGTATGTATTATAAAGCAATATGTGCAACAAACACTCCTAAACATTATCGTAGTGAGGGGAGACCAAAGCGGAAATGGCCCCTGTCGCGAAGGCTTTAAGAGGCCAAAAAAATTGAGGAGCAAAAAAAAAATGAAACCAATTTTAACATAAAAAGTAATAATTTGTTAATTTTATTGTAAAAAAGCGCATTTATTTCATTTTTGCCCCGGTCGCAAAAATATTCGCTACGTCACTAATCTTAAGCGTCATATAATTTATTTAATAAAGCAATTTTTATAATTGAATGTTTTATAGCTTATAACAAAACTCCATATACAACTGATTCAACTTTAACATAAAAATAAACTAAACTGTAGAATCAAATAGACAATTTTCTGGCATTCTTTGTCTTTTATTTTAAAATAACGCAAGTGATTTAATGATCTGCAAATGATCTAAAGTACTTGGATTATACAAACTATAAATGCTTCCAAATAATGTGTTCAAAGTATATTTTTTACTACATAATTATTTTCGTGAGATATTTTCCTTTTAATTTATTTCCGAATAACTTAGCTTATAAAATTTATAAACGTTTACGGTGATACTAATGTTAAAAACTGTAATTAGAACAACCAATCCAAATCCAGTATATTTAAAAAGGCAAATATAATACTTTATAATTCACAAGTCCGGGCCCTTGAATAGAGCCGGGCCCCAGGACAATATACCCCTGACCCCCCCCCCCCCTCTCTACGGCCATGGCGCTATATAAGAAAAATAAACTTTGTTTACAAGACAGTGACAGTTTTTTTTTTTTTTGTGGGGGGGGGGGGACGGAATGTTGATACCAAGTTGCCAGTGGAGTTGTACTATGGGGAGTTATTTTCTTATATAGATAGTTACATTTAATCGGGAAATAATTTCACTTTTTCTTTTTTTAGACTAATAGGGTTTTTGTTTAATCAATAAATTTAGTACAAAATCTACAATGCAAAATCTAAGCGTCTCTTCTTACTAGCTGCAAATATATCAATTACGTTGTTTACTTTTAAAGACATGGTATTATAAATATATAATAATGCCAAGCCAGTTAAACGCTCATCATTGGTTCAGTTACGCAGAGTACTTTTTAAAATATTCATGGCGCTAAAGCTACGTTCAGCTGTACATGTTGTGATTGGAATAGTAGAGAAAATCCAAAGAAGTATCTTGATGGTTGCTAATCTATAAAATAAAATTAACAGAGTAAGTTGAAAAGCAACAGAGATTTAAACTGATATAGCATTTCTTTTTTATAAATTATACCTATCAGGAATTAGATCTACAGCTGCTAATAAAGTTGAATCATGGCTTTGCATATGCGAGCAAAATTCTTTCCACTCCAAATATTCATTATGAATAGTTTCCTTGTCTCGATACCCAATTACAGAAGAAAACAATCTTATAGGTTCAACCACATCAGTCCAACAATGTTGAGAAATCACTGATGATAACAGAGCAGACATTTTCATAACTAGTTGCTGGTGGTTTGAAAACCGTGCATCCATGGATTGAATCACTAAATCTAGGTACGGAAACCAAATTGCCCCCTTTATAATATTGGTATGCATTTTCAGCAGGGATGTTGTTTCTATACAATTGCCTACATGCAACACGAGGAGTCACTAAAGCTATATTTAAAGCATTTGCTAAAATAATTAGCGTTGTTGAATGGGCCAAAATCAGCATTCATCCATATTTCATTCTCATCAAAGCCCCATGTTAAAAATGACTTTTTCACAAAGTTTATGGCATTTAATGCATCAATGAGATTGTTATCGAGTGTTTGCAATAATTTAGACAATGTTACTGTTAACGCCATAACTTTTTTTGCGCAACAAAGTGCTACAATAACAACCGGATCATACAGGCACCTTAGTAGACTTCTTGCAGTGTCTACAGTTTTACTGTCAAGTTTATTAACAATTTTCTCTAAACATTTTACACTATTAATGAAATTTTGATAGAAAATAAGTAAGCAATCATGCCTCTCAACAAAACGTGTTTCACTAAAACTTTTTAAGCATGCAACAGAACTTTCCAACTCTTGCAAAAACTTTTCTAATATCTCCCTTCTTTTAATAGAATCGTTTATAAAAGTTGTGCATTTCTTAACTGTACTTAACATATCCCTTATTTCTGGTATACCAGAAATAAGGAAATTCTACTTGTTCTGTATACAGAACAAGTAGAATTTAAAACTAAGTTCAGGACGTGGCTACTGCAATGTACAAATACTGCGGATGGAGCCACCTGTCTTACGTGCTCCTGGACACCATTATAACAGCCAGACGTAGCTGATGCGCCATCACAATCTTGACCTACTAAGTAAGAAAGGTCGAGACTATGTCCTTTCAGAGTTTGAATAATTAGTTCACCTAACCCTTTACTACTAAGATGATTAACTTTCTTAAGGTTTAAAAATTCTTCTCTGATTGTATGAAAACCATTTATCAAACACACAGAACGAATACATACACATAACTGCTTGTGATGCATAACAGTTTTAATAAATCGGCACCAAACGTTCGCGTGATTCTTTTACTTCCGCTTTGTACTTTTCATTTCGCATAGTTTTTATATTTTTACCTGAATTCATTAATAGTACAAAATGATCACCAAACACAACCAATATCACAAAAATTTTTGTGATATTGGTTGCTTAAATGGTTGATCAATTGTCAATCACTTCCTGTCAAATGACTGTATTTTCTAAGCGGTTTGTTAACTAATTATGCCAGTTTTGTAGCCTTGCAATGATTAATTTCACTTACTTCATTGGCAAATAAAACACAAGTGACACTAACAAGACCATCAAAGATTGAGAAAATTTAAAGATGGAATAACTTCCACCTGATAAGTGTTGGAGACCAAGGTATACCTTCTGTGGGGTCTTCCTACCCATCATTGTAAATGGATATTTGAAAGAAAAATCCGGCATCCAATGTTCAGTTATCAATTTCTTTTTTTCTAAATTATTGAGTTTTTTCACATCGTCAATATTTCTTACGTCACCCGAAAAAACACAAGCAATATCATTACTGGCTGGGTGAGAATTATCTTTGTATGTTATCGGTTTCTGTTAACATCGTTTGAATAGGTGTACAAATAAGAGATTTGGAGAGGACGTCGGTTGGTTCAAAAGATTTATTAATTACTGCATTGATATAAATAGGAGGTTTTTTAATCAAAAAATCCGCAATGAAAAACCTAGGTTTCTTCAGCGGTCGTTCTTTGCTCATGGTAATCTCTATCTAGAATCGCATATATATATATATATATATATATATATATATATATATATATATATATATATATATATATATATATATATATATATATATATATATATATATATATATATATATATATATATATATATATATATATATATATATATGTATATATATATATATATATATATATATATATATATATATATATATATATATATATATATATATATATATATTTAATATATAATCAACAATATAAACCTGCTCCAATATCGAATATTATTGCTTGTCACCTTTAAAAAAAATTTAAGATGTTCAGATAGTTGTTTTGAATGTATTTTGTCAAAAATAAAAAGACCCTCGAATAAAGCTAGCTTTGATGTGTTAACTGATTTAAGTTTAGTTAAAAAAATTTTTAACTTGCATAAGTCCTATTCCAACTTGAAAAAATAAATGCAAAAGGAAGAATTATAGGTGATTTGACTAAACAAAATGAGTTTGAGAATGAACTTAAAAAACCTTTTTGGGCTGGTAATTCTAATCTCAAAAACATGATCAGTAGAGATAAAAAAGATCACTAAAATACAAGATTGAAGATTTAAAATTTTTGGAAGATCAAGAAGGTGAAAGAAAGTTTGTTATTGGTTCAAAGGATATTAAGTATAAAAAAAAGGTCAATGCTTTTAGTTAAATAGTTTATCTCTGGTTTAACCTCTGTTAATTTATTCTTTTTTTTTACCGTTTATAAAATTAAAAACTAAATTTATAATTTTCTGTAAATTAGACAAACGAAAGAACCAGGAAGAAAAATTCTTCACAGTCTAAGAGTTTGATAGACGATATACCCAACAGTTAATTTATGGACACAATTTTAAGCGAGGACTCTTCAATCGAATCTGATTTTGATCCAAGTGATTGTGATCACTTAGAACTCTTTGAAAACTCAGATACAGTAACTGCAAAAATTTAAAAAGATATTTATGCGGGTAATGTTTCACTTACTGCTATAGCGTGTGATATATCGCAAAAAGTAATGTAAATGAATGTAACAAATGAAATTCTATACGAATCAGGTGTTGATCTTAAAGAAGTTAATGGAGAGACTTATCTACTTGGAGTAC